AGGAATAGTGTCCAGGGACCAGGGGCTCTGTCAACACCACAGCAAGACCACGATCCTGCTGGCTCTAAGATGTGCCCCTTCCCAACTGCTGGATCTTTGAGCTCTTCTCCCCTCCATCAGCCTCAGGGAGACACCATGACACCTGGGCAGGGAAGCACTGGACCTGGGGAAAAGCCCCCAGAGGATTTTAATATGAGGAAATACCAACACACAGCATAAAAACAGGGGAATACGAAGAGGGGAAATACCCATGTGTGTCTGCTGACTGCTGGAAAAGGGAGACTATTTCCTGGCACTCACGGCTCTCCCAGGGGCACTGAGCTCTCCTCCCTCCCAGCTGCACCCAGCTGCTCAGCAGGGCTGGGCTCTGCTGGCCTGGGGCTCTGGAACTCTTGTGCATGGGGCTCTGGTGTCACATCCTCGGTGTCCTCATGGGGATATGCCAGAGACACCTCTTCAACATCGTCATAGCCCGTGGTCCCCAGGAAAGGTGACGAGGTGTCTCCATCAGCTCCAGGGACCCCAGCACTTCTCCAGGAGTGCAGGCTTCCCCCTGTAAGCATCAAGGCAGGCTGCTGTGGTTGGGCCTGTGGGGTGCCCCTCGGGGCTGTTTATCACCTTCCTCATTCTCACCAGCCTGAGACACTCGGCCCATTCTCCCAGCCCCCACAAAATCTCCCAGGACAGGTTCTCCATATGGAGGTGGTCAGGCTTTCAATATGGCATGGATTCTCCTAGGCCTGGGGTTGGCATCTAGGAAGTGGCAGTGTTGCATTGTCCTCTCACCTGTGGCTGCATGCCTCAGCCCATCTCCTTCCTCTGGTGTTCTGGGCACTTCCCAGTCCCCCTGCCCAGGGACAGGATCCTCCCCAGGGTCAGAAACCTCCCCAGCATCATCATAGCCATCTGCTGGGTAACCTCCGGGCAGGACAGGGACATCTGAAAGGAGAGGGAAGGTGGTGGCAATGAGAAGAGATGTCCTGCAGAGCAGAGGATGGGAGGGTGTGTGGGGACACAGGGCTGACATGCTGCTGGTGTCAGGGTCACAGCAGAGCCTTCATGCTTCCAGCTCTGATGATAACACTCGGTGGCACTGCTGTCAGTCTGGTCTGTCTGCAGTGAGGAGAAATGGAGACATTTCTTCCCCCCCCCACCTCTGATCCTTGGGTCTGGCCCCAGACCATCCTCCTCCTCTCTGTGCCTGGGGTAGGGCTGCAGCTGGGTCAGGGACCCCTCTGAAAAGGAGGCTGCAGAGAGCTGCAGTGGGTGCTGTGGGATGAGCCCTGCTGCCGTGACTGGTGGTCAGCACTGCTGGGGATGGGCACCCACAGAGCTGGGGGTGCATGGGGAGGAGACCAGTTCCTTGGAAAGAGACAATTCTCAGAGGAACTCCAACAGCTGCCCTGGGAAAGCCCTTCACTTAGTCCTTGGTTCAGGGAGAAGCAGAGAGGGGCTATCCCCTCTGGGATGGGCAGAGCTGGTGTGGAGGAAGCTCCTCTGTGGGGGCCAACACCTGGATGCTCTCCCACAGACCCCATGGTCCAACCATTTCAGGGACCATGGGCAGGAGCTGCAGGACACAGCCCTGGTCTGAGACAGGGAGAATGGACACAGCAGATGTGCCCCCGCAGGTTACCTGCACCCACCTGAGGGACTGAACCTCGGCCGCTTCTCCCACACCAGGCTGTAAGTGATCTCCTCGTACACGGCCTCAGGGAAGCGCTCCCCAGCTCTCCCAGAGCCTGGGGACAGAGGCAGGGCTGGTCTGGGAATGGGCAGAGAGGGACAGGACCCCACTGGGCTCCCTCACCCCATTCCCTAGGCCAGCACAGGGCTGTCCCCACAGCACAGCCCCACTGTGTTGTGTTGGCACTGAGGCCACATCCCCAGAGAGGGCAGCATCCCCATGGAGATGGTCTGGGACAGAGTCAGCCTCACACCATCCCTTTGGAGACAGCCCTTGTGCCCCTTTGGTCCCTGGTCACGTCCCATTGCAGACCCTGCACCAGTTCCCTCATTTCCCTTCCCCATGGAGCTGCTCCATCTCTTCCCCATACATCAATAGCACAGCCCGTGCCCTGTTGGGGGGTGGCTGACACAAAGGTGATGGACTCTGCTGCCCCATGCTCCTCCTGCCAGTGCTGCCCAGAGCACTGCCAGCAGTGCATCCTCCCTGACTCACCCAGCCCAGATCTCACATTTCTCTCCTCACCCCAGAACTGATGCCTCAGGCTCTGGGCTCTCTCCACCCCTTGATGTTGGTGCCCCATGGTCTGTCAGTCAGTGGGGCAGCACAAGGGGCCGGAGGCAGCACACGGCTCTGTTTCTGTGCCCCAGAACACCAAAACCCCCAGCCCTGCCAGGAGGCATCTCCCCCCCAGGACCACTGGGGAAGGGCCCACCTCTGCGCTGAGCCCTGGCGTTTCGCACCTGCCCAGCCAGGAGGGCCAGGAGCAGGCAGAGGAGGGCCCCCAGGATGATGCAGATGACGACAGGCACCGAGAGTCTCTCACCGCTGGTGGTCAGACGGCCCCGTGGGGGATCTGCATGGGCAGGAACATGGCAGGGGCAGCATCAGACAGAATTCGGGGGCAGGACATGCCACTCCCGACCACACAAGGCAGTGGAGGCTGGGGACGTCAGGGCTGGGTGATGGGGCGGATTCCACCCTGATGGGTACATCACAGACTTCCCCCAGCTTCCACATATTCCTGGGACTCTCACAGCCCAGCATGTAGCCCCCTCCTCCTGACTGGTCTTCTCTGAGACCCCGCCTGGAGATGCCTCTGCCTCCCCCAGTGACTGATGGCAGCCTGACCAGGTACTGATGGTGGGCATGGGTAGTTTTAAAAGCTGAAGTCACCTTTGTTCCTCCAGCAGCTACAAGGTCTAATGCAGAAAGCCAAAGCTTCTCTGGGTTCCTTCTCTGCATTTCACCATATCCTGCGGGGAACAGGACCTGGTGCCTTGATGGCTCAGATTTACCATTGCAGGTGATGTGGGTCTCTTCTCGGAGGTCATCACAAGACTGCGGATGCCAGGGAGCAGAGGGACACTGCCAGAAAGAGCTGTTGCTCTTCCCACACTCCACGTGATCCAGCCATGCAGTACCAGACAGCTTGGCATAGTTAGAACGCATTTCCAGTTCCCCTTCATTCCCGCAGCCCAGCTCCTTGCACACCAGTGACACCGTCTCGGTGGTCATGGAGTTGGAGCAAACGCTGCCCCACGTCCCGCTGTAGAAAACCTGCAGGCGCCCGGAGCAGCCATCACTGTTCTCCAGCCTCAGGGCCATGAACTCTGGAAGGAGGAAAGGCCCCAGACAGAACAGGCTGGTCAGGGGCTGGTGGAACAGAGGCTCCTCTGCACCCCAGGTGCTCAGGAATTCGGAGGCACAGCCAGCAAATCTCTTTTGCATCTGGGGGCAGAGAGGTCTCTGACATACTCCTTTGCCCTCCCCACACACTGTCAGGGTGGATGGGCTCCCAAGGGTCTGTGTGAGGGTTTCCCCAGGATGGGCTTGGGCAGGGGACCCAAGGCAGCAAGGGACGGCATCGGCCTTGCCCAGCTCTGCCCTCACCCTAGTCTCTAAGGCCCCAGCTCCCAGCCCCAATCCCAGCACAGACCTGAGCAGACGACTCCCGCGTCCTCCTTGTGCCCGCAGTCGTGCTGCCCCCAGGCCTCGGCAGGACAGTCCCAGAGAGCAGCTTCGGCCCCGGAGCAGCTGACGCCATCCAGCCAGATCTGCCCGGAGCCCTCCCCAAACCGAGCAGAGCCGGCTGCCTCCAGGGCCCCTCCGCAGCCCAGCTGGTGGCAAACGACGGCGGCGTCGGCCAGGTCCCAGGCGTCGTCACAGACGGTGCCCCAGCGCCCCTGGTAGTAGATCTCCACTCTCCCGGCACAGCGCCCAGCCCTGTCCACCAGCCGGACCCGCCGGCTCCCTGCAGTGGGGAGAACCCCAATGCTCAGGGGCTGGCTGCCCTCCCGGACCAGCACCTGAGGGACGTGCAGCACCACTCACCCCAGCACACGACCCCCACGTCCTCCGCGATCCCTGTTGCTGGATGGCTCTCGGGCAGGGAGGTGTTGCAGAGGCTCAGGTCAGCCTCGTGCCCTGCACATTGCACCCCATACAGCCCCACAGGTCCTCGTCCTCGCTCAGCCCTCACGGGGGTGTAGGCTGCCTCTGCCTCTCCGCACTGCAGCTGCCGGCACACCACGCTGGCCTCCTGCATGTCCCACTGCTCATCCAGGACTCTGCCCCACGTCCCATGCTGGAAGACCTCCACGCGCCCGTCACACCGGCTCCCTCCGCCCACCAACCACACAGACATGTTGCGAGCCTGTCCTGGTGAGAGCAGAAATTCAGCGAGGCACTGCATTGGGGTCCCCAGCAGTGGGTGGCCATGTCACAAAGAAGTGGCAAATGGACTTTGCAGCACTGCCCAGCACTCACCTGAGCAAATGACAGCAGCAGCGTTCTCCTGGGAGCACGGCGAGACCCCCAGGGCAGTCACCGGGCACTGCCCCAGGTGGGCTTCAGTCCCGTCACAGTGGAACGAGTCTCTCCAGACGGGGCCGGTTCCTCTCCCAAAATGCCCTCCTCCAGGAATGGACTCAGCAAAGCCACAGCCGAGGTGCCGACAGAGAACATGGGCGTCTGAGAGGTCCCAGCGGGAGGCACAGAGGGTCCCCCACGTCCCCAACACCGCGACCTCCACCCTGCCCTCACACGCTGTGCTGCCATTCACCAGCCTGAACCCTGGGTACTCAAGGACAAAGGAGGGTGAGAGAGGCCACATTTGTGCTCTTGTTCCCACAGGAGCTGCAGGAGAGGCCAAAGGGACAGCGTGCCTTTCTCCTCCTGCAGCATTCTAATTTTAGGGCTGCAGACCACCACCTCACCCCACCTGTCCCCTGCCCAGCACAGCCCAGTGCCCACCCTGCTCTCATGCTCCCACCACAGCCCCCATGGGCACCATCCCACCCCAAGTCCTTACGTGTGCAGGTGACATGAGTGCCATTGCTGTGGGTGCAGGGCTGGTCCCTGGTCGTCGCCGTGGGGCAGAAGGAGAGGACGGATTCATTCCCCACACACTGCAGCTCTCTGTCCCAGACAGGACCGGCCCCTTCTCCCAGCTGAGCTGCCCCATGCACAGACAGGGCTGTGCCACACTGCAGCTCCCTGCACACCACCTCGGCAGCTTTGGCACCAAAGTGGGAGTGACAGACAGCTTTCCACTGGTCCCTGTCGTAGACCTCCACACTTCCTGAGCAGGGGCTGTCCCCTCCGAACAGCCGCACAAATCCTGGAGCAACCAAGGAGACCTGTGAGTTCCCAGAGCCCTCTGGCACTTCCATGCCTACCTCCCACCTCATCCCTGAGGTGGCCACATGGCCAGCCCAGCAGCTCTCAGTGGGTGCTGATGGCACAAAGATGTCAGGGCCCCCCTGCTGCTCCTCAGAATCCACCCCAGCACCCATGAGCTGCCCTCTCTCCCAGCCTCCAGCTGCAGACACTGCTCAAACTGCTGCTGCCCGGAGCCCCTGGGCTGCCCGGCCCCTGACCCAGCACTGCAGCACCCACAGCACATGGGCCAGGGTAAACAGGCCCAGGAACTGGGGGCTACTTCAGCTTGCTCTGCCCCACAAGGCTCAGGCCAGTTAGAAGAAATCCTTGGATCTGCTAAAAAGCCCCCCTGTTTCCAGGGAATGCTGGGGCTCTTGGGGAGCTGCTGTTACATGGGGCACATTGGGGGATCCTCCGCAAAGGGGGGTCCTCCGGTCGGGACAGTGTGGTGCTGGGCATGCACGTCCCCAGCCACCTACCATGCATGGGTCAGGAAAGCAGGCAGAGAGCAGCCCTGGTTTGACACAAGCTCCTGGTGTGAGGGCAGGCACAGAGGAGAGCCAGGAGGTGTTGGCACAGCCCCTGGGGCACAGGGCAGGCAGGAGAGGCTGAGCAGTGGGTCAGCACAACCTGGAGGGGCCATGTCTCCGGGGGCTGGCTTTCATGGGGTGACCCCGGGACAGGAACAAGGTGCCACTTGCCACCATGTTCCTCTGCCCAAGCCCAGTGCTCCTGCCTTCTGAGCAGCCCCTCTGCTTTGGCCAAGGTTCTCTTGGCTGCTGGGGGTACAACCCAAATGTCCTGGGCCATTGCACACCCTTCCCTGAGGCTGCTGGTGGCTGGGGGAGCTGCTCTAGATTCCCCCGGCATAGGGACCAGCCTGCCAGACAGGGCCTGGGCGAATGGAGGAGAAAGATGGGAACCAGGCAGCACAGTGGGGAAGGGTGGGGGCTTTCCTCTCCCAGCCCCAGGCACCTCCCCAGGCTTGGCTGCTCCAGCTTCAGGGCCAGGCTGGGTGTACTCCCTCTGGGTTTTCCCCAGGGACAAGGGACACCAGCAGTGACAGACCCAGCTCAGAGTGCAACTTGACACACAGAGCCATGTTCTGGTGTCCACTTGTTGCTTCCTGAGGTCACAGCCAGGTCCCTTAGAAGCGTCCTCATCCCAGAGGTACGGAAGAAGTTCAGTCCTTACCTGAGCATGTCACTCCAGCATCCTCCCTGTGATAGCAGTCTGTTTGACCCCATCCCCTGTGGGTGCAGTCAGACAGGGCAGACTCCTTGCCATTACACTGAACTTCATCCATCCAAATGGGCCCAGATCCTGGCCCAAAGTGTGCATTCCGATGAGCTTCGAGAGCAACCCCACAGCCCAGCTGCCTACAAACCACTGCAGCATCGGACTTGTCCCAGTAGTCATCACACACGGTCCCCCACTGGCCCTGATGTTTCACCTCCACTCTCCCAGCACAGCGACTGCCGCCATCCACCAGCCTCACCTCCGCAGCCCCTTCAAACACCAACACAGGAAGGGTCAGGAGAGTTTTGAGCCCCACATTATGTGTCCATGAGGACCCCCTCCCCAGGCAGACTCCCAGTTCCCAGGGTGGGATCCCTGTCCCCATAGGCTGTCTCAGGGGCAGTGGGGGGTTCCTCCTCCCCCCATGGGCTATGCTGGGCTGGGGGTACCCAGCTCTAGCCCTCCTGGGCCATTTGCTGCCCCACAGCCCTCACCACCTCCTCCCACCCCAGCGGACCCCTGCCCCCACCCATGCCCAGCCCCCAGCCCCCACACAGCCCCCAGCCCTGCATGGGGCTCCCACTCCTCCCCAGCCCAGTGTCCCCCAAACAGACCCATGCCCCTGAGCAGCTTCTATTGCCCATTGTCTGCTACAGGCACCTCCCAAACCCACTGTCTGGGTTGACCATAAGGATACCAACAGCCCACGTCCCTTCCCCATCCCTGCTGTCAGACTGGCCCCTGTGCTTGACCAGGACCCCCAAGAAGAGCACCTCTCAGTGCAGATGCCCTTTCTGTTAATGAGACACAACCTGCCCTCCTGGAGTCAGTGTTTCCCCAGATCCCAGGGGCAGGGAACAGCACACAAGTCCCCCTGGGACATCCCAAAAATTGGCTGTGCCCTGGAGCTCACTGAGGGTCACCCTCACTGTCTGGGACTCCTCTAGATCCAGAGGCACAGTGCTGGGGAACAAGGGGTCCCAGAAAGGTACCCAAGGACAAGGTGTCTAGAAATGAAGTCAGGCTTGGGCTGCCAAAAACATGGGAGATATGAAAATGGATTACCCCCTCCCACCCAGACAGGCACAGATTAAAGAACAGAGCTGAGAGACTGAGAACCTTCTGCCTCTCATTTCAGTGGTGCCTGAAAACAACCCCACTCCCAGAGAGATCCCAATGACCCCACTGCTGCCCACAGTCCCAAGGCTGTGGAACAGAGAAGCTGTCACTTACCTCTGCATGGCTGCACCCAGAGGAGCAGACACAGCACCCAAGGGGACAGGAGTCCCTCTGTCCCCATCCTGAGGCTCCTGTCCTGACAGCACGGCCCTGCTGCTGGAGCTTTTGGGGACCCAAAGTGAAATGGAGATGATGGGAGGGCAATATATCTGTGCAGATGCTGTCCCAGCTGCAGGAGGAGCCAATCGAAGCAGCAGGCACCTTTTTAGACGTTATCGGCACTTATCTCCCCTCCGACGCAGCCCAGCTCTCCAATGAACTTCTCCAGCGCTCTTCATGACCATATATGAGGGACGGCTCCGCTGCGGCTCTCACGTCACTGCGGTGGGACATCATCGTGGGGTAGGGCTGGGTGTGGGGGCAGATGGCTCTGATACCCCTTGCAGCCTGCTGTGGGAGCACGGAGCATCTCCTGAGCTGTAGCATCCAAGAGCCCAAGGTGCGATTGTCCGGCCGTCCCTGCGCCATGGGATCCAGGGGACTGGTCCTGCAGCAGGGCTGTGTCAGGCTGGGAAGGGACCAGCCCCTGCCCCTGCTACAGCCCCTGCTGTGCTGGCAGCAGCAGCTGGGAAAGGCCCTTGGGCAGGGCCAGAGCCCCATGATGGGGGTGCTGGCTGTCCCGTCCCTCCCCAGGGAGCCTCCTGTGGGGTCCCGGCAGCAGCCAGAGCTGGTCCAGGGCCTGCCCTGGCAGCAGAGCTGCAGCCCAGAGCCTCAGGCGTCTCCCTGGCTCTCAGCGTGTCACCCAGGGGCCGTTATTCCCCGCGGCGGGTCGGGAGCTGGAGCCTGCCTGCCACTGCAGGTGCACAAACCGCAGCCCACGTGACATGGCGCCCGGGCAGGAAGATGGTGGTTTCCTCCTGGCCCCGTGCCCAGGCATGGCCCTGCGGTGCCTCCCAGCCTCCTCACAGCTCCAAGCCTGGCAGAGTCCAAGAAGTGTTGGGACAATGCTCTCAGACATATAGTTTATTATATATATATATATAAATATAAATACACACATATATATATACATTTTATATTTTTAATAGAACACACATTTTTCTAAATATATGCAATATATATATTTTACTTATACATTATTATATTATTTTTTATTTATTTTATTAGATTGGATATTATTCTTACATATTGTATGTATTATTATATAGTTCATATTATATAATATATAATTACCAATATTATATCATAGATTATATTTTTATTTGATATGTATTTATATTACATATAGTATTCCAGTATATTATACAGTATTATGTTATCTTATACAGTATAATATATTATATTAATTATATTATATATTTTATTTTATTTTATTTTATTTTATTTTATTTTATTTTATTTTATTTATTTTATTTTATTTTATTTTATTTTATTTTATTTTATTTTATTTTATTTTATTTATTTTTCATTACATTAATTTTACATGTATTACACATTTGTAAAAGGTTTATTTTTTACAAATATATACATTATATATTTTAATATTTTTAATATATATTTACAGTTTGTATAGTTTTTTAGATACATATATAATTCATTTTATTTTCTGGTTGCTGGAGTTGGACTCACTGATCCTTGATTCTTTCCAATGTGGGATATTTCATTATTCTTTCTTACTCAGTTCCAGGTGATGCCATAGCATCTTCACCTGCCATGGGCCTGCTCCTGGCCTGTAGTCAGGCAGCAATGACCTCACCAACACCTACACAAGTTCTTGGCATGTTCCAGCCCTGCCACCTCCTCAGGCACCAGTGACCTCACAGGTACCTGTACAATCCGTGGGCCTTGCCCTGACCTATCAGCTAATTGATCACCAATGACCTCCCCACAGACCCACACCAGCCATGTGCTTATTCCTGGCCTCCTGGCTTCTCAGGCACCAGGGTCCTCCCAGCATCTAGCACAGGCCATGTTTGCTCTCAGCCAGTTAGTTACACAGGCACCACTGGCATCCAAATGACATCCATAGGCCAGGGGACTGCTCCTGGCCTATCAACTCCTCAGCTGACCATGACCTCATAAGCACGTGTAGCCTAATGGAAGGTGTCCCTACCTGTAGCAGGGGGTGTGGACTAGATGGTCATTAGGGTTCTTACAACCCAAACCATTCTATGACTCTGTGATTCTCTGATATCCGTGCAGCTGATGCATACTCTCCATGGAAGTAGTCAGGCTCCAGTGACCTCCCAAGAACTTATCTGGCCATGCACCTGCTCCTGCCCTGTCGGCTACTCAGCCAAGAGTGGTATCACAAGTCCATTCCCCAGGCATGGGTTTCCTTCCTGCCTGTCATCTTCTCAGGCAACAGTGACCTCACAAGCTCTTACGAGAGCTGTGGGCCTGCTGCTGGTCTGTCAGCTCCACAGGCACCACTGACCTGAGCACCACATAGACACCTATTTAGTTTCTACTCCCCTATGAAGTAGTGTGATGCACCAGTAGAGAGGTGCCTGGGGTTTCTGTTGGATTTCAGAAGAAATCAAGCATGGGGTGCCATATCTGACGTTACATCATAAGTTCCCAAAGACCCACACTAGCCATGTGCTTATTCCTGGCCCGCAAGCTTCTCAGGAACCAGGGTCCTCATAGCGTCTAGCACAGGCCATCCTTGCTCTCGGCCTGTCAACTACTCAGGCACCACTGTTATCACAGAACATTCACCTGCCATGGGCCTGCTCATGGCCTATCAGATCTTCAGCTGACAGTGACCTCGTAAGCACATATGAGCTATTGGAACATGTCCCTGCCTATCATATGTCGTGGTTTAACCCGGCCGGCAGCTAAACACCACGCAGCCATTCGCTCACCCTCCACCCTCCCTCTCTGGGACGGGGGAGAGAAATAGAAAGTGAAGCCCGTGAGTTGAGATAAAGACAGTTTAATAAGACAGGAAAATAATAATAATAAAAATAATAATAACAATAATAATAATAATGATACAATGGTGATAATAGGAAAGTAATAATAATATGTACAAACAAGTGATGCACAATGCAATTGCTCACCACTCGCTGACCGATGCCCAGCCTAACCCCGAGCAGTCCGGCCCCCTTCCCCCGGCTAGCCACCCCTATATATTGTTTAGCATGACGTCAGATGGTATGGAATACCCCTTTGGCTAGTTTGGGTCACCTGTCCTGGGTCTGTCCCCTCCCAGCTCTTACTGCACCCCCAGCCTGCCTGTTGGCAGGACAGAGCAAAAGGCTGAGATGTCCTTGGCTTAGTATAAGCACTGCTCTGCAACAATTAAAGCATCGGGGAGTTATCAGCACTCTTCTCATCCTAAGCCAAAACACAGCATTCCACCAGCTACTAGGAAGAAAATTAATTCTGTTCTAACTGAAACCAGGACATCTATCCACCCCTTATACTATACCATTTATGTCATGCTCAGGTTACACTCTTTTCCATACATTCTAATTAGTCACCTATAGTAATCATGGTAGTGATAACATACAGTATAATATACTAATTAACATGGTACTATTCAGTTCATGGGCTATTCTCACCCAGTATTAAATCTCCTTGAGGTACACACCGGACCTCTCCGTTCTTTTGCATCACCCACCAAGTGTATCCAGGTCCCTGAGCGAAAACAATTCCATGAATAGGTTTGCCTTTTCCTGAGGCAGGAGTAGCCCAGACTGTTTTACCCAGCATATTTTTTACATGCACTACAGGAACTTTATCCCCATCTACAGTACGTAACAGGTTTGATTGGGCAGGTCCAGCTCGGTTGGTAGATCCCCTAGTATTGACTAACCAGGTGGCCTTTGCCAAATGCATATCCCAGTTTTTGAACGTCCCAGCGCCCATTGCTTTCAAGGTAGTCTTTAACAGGCCATTGTATCGTTCAACTTTCCCGGAGGCTGGTGCATGATAGGGGATGTGATACACCCATTCAATACCATGTTCTTTGGCCCAAGTGTCTATAAGGTTGTTTCGGAAGTGAGTCCCATTGTCTGACTCTATTCTTTCTGGGGTGCCATGCCGCCACAGGACTTGCTTTTCAAGGCCCAGGATGGTGTTCCGGGCGGTGGCATGAGGCACAGGATATGTTTCCAGCCATCCGGTGGTTGCTTCCACCATTGTAAGTACGTGGCGCTTGCCATTGCGAGTTTGAGGGAGTGTGATGTGATCAATCTGCCAGGCCTCTCCATATTTATATTTCAGCCATCGTCCTCCATACCAAAGAGGCTTTGACCGTTTGGCTTGCTTGATTGCAGCACATGTTTCACAGTCATGAATAACCTGTGCTATAGCGTCCATGGTCAGGTCCACCCCTCGATCACGAGCCCATCTGTATGTTGCATCTCTACCTTGATGGCCTGAGGTGTCATGGGCCCATCGGGCTATAAATAATTCACCTTTATGCTGCCAATCCAGGTCCACCTGAGCTACTTCAATCTTAGCAGCCTGATCCACCTGCTGGTTGTTTTGATGTTCTTCAGTAGCCCGATTCTTGGGCACATGAGCATCTACGTGGCGTACTTTCACAGCCAGGTTCTCTACCCGAGCAGCAATATCTTGCCACAATGCAGCAGCCCAGATGGGTTTGCCCCTACGCTGCCAGTTGTTTTGCTTCCATTGCTGTAACCATCCCCACAGGGCATTTGCTACCATCCATGAATCGGTGTAGAGATAGAGAACTGGCCATTTTTCTCGTTCAGCAATGTCTAAAGCCAGCTGAATGGCTTTCACTTCTGCAAACTGACTCGATTCACCTTCTCCCTCAGCAGCTTCTGCAACTCGTCGTGTAGGACTCCATACAGCAGCCTTCCATCTCCGATGCTTCCCCACAATACGACAGGACCCATCAGTGAACAGGGCATATTTCTTTTCATTCTCTGGCAACTGGTTGTACAGTGGGGCTTCTTCAGCACGACCCACCTCCTCCTCTGATGATATCCCAAAGTATTTGCCTTCTGGCCAGTCCATGATCACTTCCAATATTCCTGGGCGACTGGGGTTTCCTATTCGAGCCCGCTGAGTAATCAGTGCAACCCACTTGCTCCATGTAGCATCAGTTGCATGATGCGTAGAGGGGACCCTTCCCTTGAACATCCAGCCTAGTACCGGCAATCGGGGTGCTAGGAGGAGCTGCGCTTCAGTACCGACCACCTCCGAAGCAGATCGAACTCCTTCATATGCTGCCAATATCTCCTTTTCAGTTGGAGTATAGCGGGCCTCAGATCCTCTGTATCCCCAACTCCAAAACCCCAGGGGCCGACCTCGAGTTTCCCCAGGTTCTTTCTGCCAGAGGCTCCAGGTGGGGCCGTTCTCCCCGGCTGCAGTGTAGAGCACATTCTTTACATCTGGTCCTGTTCGAACTGGCCCAAGGGCTACTGCATGGACTATTTCCTGCTTGATTTGTTCAAAGGCTTGTCGTTGTTCAGGGCCCCATTCAAACTCATTCTTCTTACGGGTTACTTGGTAGAGCGGGTTTACAATCAGACTGTAATTTGGGATGTGCATTCTCCAAAACCCCACAACACCTAGGAAAGTCTGTGTTTCTTTTTTGTTAGTTGGTGGAGACATAGCTGTTATTTTGTTGATCACATCCATTGGGATTTGACGACGTCCATCTTGCCATTTTATTCCTAAGAACTGGATCTCTCGTGCAGGTCCTTTGACTTTATTTTGTTTTATGGCAAAACCGGCTTTCAGAAGGATTTGGACTATTTTCTTCCCTTTCTCGAAAACTTCTTCTGCTGTGTCACCCCACACAATAATGTCATCGATGTACTGCAGGTGTTCAGGAGCTTCCCCCTGCTCTAGCGCAGACTGGATCAGCCCATGGCAAA